AAGGGGAAATATCTTTCCCCAGAGCGCAGTTAGCCTGTGAAATTTATTACTGGAGAAAGTGGTTGAGGATGAAACATTGTGTTTTGAAGAAGGAGGTAGATATACTCTTGGGCTAAAGGCATCAAGGATATGAGGCAGGTTCAGGGTATTGAGCTTAATGATCAGCCATGATCATGATGAATGGTGGAGCGGGCTCAAGGGGTCAAGTGGCTTACTCCTGCTCCTATTTCTATGTTTCTCTGAAAATAACAAATTGTTTTTTTCTTATGGCCAAGCACACAGGTAGCTGGAGTTATTTTTTATTCGTTCATGGGTTGAGGGTGTCGATGGCTAGACCAGCATTTATTGCCCATCCCTAATTGCCCAGAGGGCAGTTAAGAGTCAGCCACATTGCTGTAAAGATAACAGGTTCCTTCCCTAAAGGACATTAGTGAACTAGATGGGTTTTTCTGACAATCAACAATGGATTCATGGTCATAATTAGACTCTCAATTCCAGATTTTGTTTTTTTTTAAAATTAAATTGAATTCAAACATTTTGGTGGAACTCAAATTCCGCTATCTGCTGTGGTTAGATTCAAACCCAGGTCCCCGGAACACTACCGGGTCTCTGGATTAACAGTCCAGCAATAAGACCACTAGCCCATCAGCTCCCCTTAGTATCATCTGTTGAATGAGAAGCCTGATTCCCCTCATCTCAGTAGTCATCAACATCTATTGTCTTTCTGCTTTCCCTTCAAATCCCAACATCCTAATCTCAAACAGAGAGTGGTCTACTTCCCTGTGTCAGCATCTAATTTGGCTTTGTACTTTCTGTGAGCCTTTCCCTGAAATGAAATGTCCTTGGCAAATAGATTTAAGGAGAATCCCAAGGTACCTTTTACATATATATAGGAGCATGAGGGTAGCTAGACAAAGGGCAGGTCCACGCAAGGACAAAGAAGGGAAGTTCTGTGTGGACCTAAAGGAAGTGGGTGAAGTCCTTAATGAGTACTTTGCATTGGTTTTCACCAAGAGAAAGATTTGGGTGATGGTAATTATCTAGAGAGGTTTGTTAACATTCTAAGGCATATCGATATTAAGAAGGAGGAGGCATTGTGTGTCTTGAAAAGCATTAAAGCAGATAAGTCCCCAACTCCTGATGGGATCTATCCCAGGATACTGAAGGAGACAAGGGAAGAGATTGCTAGGGCCTTGACAGAAATGTTTGTATTCTCTTTAGCCACAGGCGAGGTCCTAGAAGACTGGGAAGTAGCCTACGTGGTTCCTTCATTTCTGAAGAGCAACAGGGGTAATCCAGGAAATTATGGGCCGGTGAGCCTTACATCATCAGTATGGATATTACTGGAGAAAATTCTTAGGGACAGGATTTACTTGCATCTGGAAAAGAATGGACTTTTAAGGAATATCCAGCATGGCTTTATGCAGTGGAGGTCTTGTTTCACAAACAATTGATTTGTTTTTTTGAGGACTTGATGATTGATGAGGATAAGGCAATGGATGTTGTCTACATGGACTTTATTAAAGCATTTGACAAGGTCCCCCATGGTAGTCTGGTCCAGAAGATCAAATTGCAAGGAATCCATGGTGAGTTGGCAAGTTGGATACAAAATTGGCTTGGCCATTGAAGAGAGAGGGTAGTTGTGGAGGGGCGTTTTTCTGACTGGAGGTCTGCGATCTGTGTTGCTCCGCAAGGATCAGTGCTGAGATGTCTGCTGTTTATAACATATATAAATGATTTGGATGAAAACGTCACTGGTCTGATTAATACGTTTGCAGATGATACAAGAAATGGTGGAGTTGTGGAAGTGAGGAAGGATATCAAAGGATACAGCAGGATAGAATTCAGCTGAAAAGTTGGGCAGAGAAATGGCAGGTGGAGTTTATTCAGGACAAGTGTGGAGTTTGCATATTCTCCCCATGTCTGCGTGGGTTTCCTCCGGGTGCTCCGGTTTCTTCCCACAGTCCAAAGATGTGCAGGTTAGGTGGATTGGCCATGCTAAATTATCCATAGTGTCCAGGGACATGCAGGCTCGGTGGATTAACCATGGGAAATGCAGGGTTTATGGGATAGGGTAGGGGAGTGTGTCTGGGTGAGATGCTCTTTGGAGGTTCAGTGTGGACTTGATGGGCCAAATGGTCTGCTTCCACACTGCAGGGATCCTATGTGTCCTATGAGTAAGTGTGAAGTGATGCATTTTGGTAGGTCAGATGCAAAAGGAAAGTATACTGTAAATGGGCGGGCTGTTAAGGCCATTGATATATAGAGGGATCTTAGGGTCCAAGACCATAGCTCCGTACCAGCAAAGATGGATAAGGTGTTAAAGAAGGCATACAGCATACCTGTCTTCATTGGTCGGGGCATTGAGTATAACAGTTGACAAGTGATTTTGCAACTGTATAAAACTTTTGTCAGGCCACATTTGGTGTATTGTGTGCAGTTCTGGGCATCACACTATAGGAAGGATGTGGAGCTTTGGAGAGGCTACAAAAGAAGTTTACCAGGATGTTGCCTGGATTGGAGTGTATTAGCTATAAGGAGAGTTTGGATAAACTTGGATTGTTTTTGCTGGAGCATCAGAAGCTGAGGGGTGACCTGATAGAAGTGCATAAGATTATGAGAGGGGTGGATAAAGTGAGGAGTCAGGATCTCTTTCCAAAGGTGGAAATGTCAGATATTAGGGGGCAGAGCTTTAAGGTGAGGGAAAATGTTTTAAAAGAGATGTGCAAAGAAAGCTTTCTTACAAAGAGGGTTGTAGATGCTTGACACACGCTGCCAGGGGAGGTGGCAGAAGCAGAAACGGTAGCAACATTTAAGATGTATTTAGACAGACACATTAATAGGCAGGGAATAGAGGGATATGAAATATGTGCAGGCAGATGGTGGGCTGAAGGGCCCATTCCTGTCCTGTCACCAACCTCTGTGTGAAAAAGTTGCCCCTTAGGTTTTTTTCTAAATCTTTCTCCTCTCACCTAAACCTATGCTCCTCTAGTTTTGGACTCCTGCACCCTGGGGAAAAGATCTTGTCTATTTACCCTATCCATGCCCATCATGATTCTATAAATCTCTATGACGTTGCCCCTCAGCCTCCGACACGCCAGGGAAAATAGCCCTCATCCACTCAGCCTCTCCCTGTAATTCACACTCTCTAACCCTGGCAACATCCTTGTAAATCTTTTCTGAATCCTTTCAAGTTTCACAACATCCTTTCTATAGCAGGGAGATGAGAATTGCACGCAGTATTCCAGTAGTGGCCTAATCAATGTCCTCTTAACAATTGCCTTTTGTACTTTTTACTGAGTCAATTTTTCTTACTCTGACTGCCCTGACATTTATAAAAAGCCACTTCTCTTTCTCTTTTACATGTCTATTCCTTAAACTTGTCTAGAGTCCCTGACTAATGTCTTCCCTTGTTATTGCTCACAGCACCCCACCCTTGACATCAACCACCCAGGCCTGTTCTACAGCATTTATTCCTTTGCATCCATGAAGACAATAAACTGATTGATTCATTTGTCATAAGATAACAAGGTGTAGAGCTGGATGAACACAGCAGGCCAAGCAGCATCTGTGTTCATCCAGCTCTACACCTCGTTATCTCAGGTTCTCCAGCATCTGCAGTTCCTACTATCTTTTCAAGACCCTTACCTTAGTCCTTCTTTACCATGACTGTTGTTACCTTTATGATTTTTTATCCAGCGAATGGTCTGCCCTGTCTTACACCACTGCTTTTCATAAATTTGCTTCAGTTCACTCTGAAAACATTTACACCTTCTTGTTTATCTGAAGAATCCGAACCACAATTGTGGCACCACACAGTCTCTAATTACTGCAGCAAGAGAACCTCTCTCTGTGTCAGATCTTCAAACTAGCTCATCGCCTGCCCATTTTGAATGGTGACTTCCTTACGTAATAGCTGGTAAAATAAACACACTGACCTTTCCATTGATGTCAAGACCAATCCTGTGACTCTGATCAATATTACAAACATCCTACTTGCAGCGACAAATAGTGGTGGAGGTGTAAAACCAGTTCATGTAGGAGCAAATTACTGCACATAGAGTCATAGAGACATAGAGATGTACAGCATGGAAACAGATCCTTCGGTCCAATTTGTCCATGCCGACCAGATTTCCTAAATAAATCTAGCCCCATTTGCCAGTATTTATCCCATATCCCTCTAAACCCTTCCTATTCCTGTACCCATCCAGATGCCTTTTAAATGTTGTAATTGTACCAGCCTCCACCACTTCCTCTGGCAGCTCATTGCACACATGCACCAACCTCTGTGTGAAAAACTCACCCCTTAGGTTTTTTCTAAGTCTTTCTCCTCTCACCTTAAACCTATGCCCTCTAGTTTTGGACTCCTGCACCCTGGGGAAAAACTTTATCTATTTACCCTATCCATGTCCCTCATGATTTTATAAACCTCTATAAGGTCACCCCTCAGCTTCTGATGCTCCAGGGAAAATAGTCCCAATCTATTCAGCC